TTCATTTCGTTCTTTTTCAATAATTTTTACTTCATAATGAATTTGTTTAATTTCTTCTGTAATAATTTCATTTCGTTCTTGATATTCATTTGTTTGTAATTCCATATTTTCTACATCAATTTCTGTTTGTTTAACTGATGTTATTAATTGCCAATATTCATAAGCAATTAATTGATCATTTAATAATTTATAACGTTTTTTTAATTCTGTATACATTTTATAATTTTGTTCATCTTGTTGTAATTTATTTATTGTTGGTGTTATATCTGTATCAATTGTTGTACGAATTTCTTTTAATTTATCATCTTTTTTTGCAATTGTTTTTAATGCTTCTGCTTTTTTTTGATCATACATACGTGTACCAGCAGCTTCTTCAATTAAACCAAGAATTTCTTGTGGTTTAGATTTTGATACTTTTGTTACTTGACCTTGTAAAATAAGAAAACGTGGATTATTAACATTCAATGAAACAGATTTAAATAAATCATGTATTGCTGATTGTGTTGCATTTTTTCCATTTAATAAATATTTTGATTTATTTGATTCAACAATACGTGTTACAGTTAATTCATCAACTAGAAAAAGCAAAAAAAAACAAAACAAGTTCTTTGTTTTTTATGAAATAGAAAAAAAGATATGAACAAATAACTTACACATTTTATAACCATCAGGTGCTTGTTCTTTATTTCGATTATCAAACATAATTGAAACACTAGCACGTGTAACACCAGCTGTACCTTGTTTATAAATAAAATCTGACAGAGCTTGTGCACGAACTTGAGATAATGATGTTATACCCATAACAAAACATATTGAATCAAGTATATTTGATTTTCCACTACCATTTAAACCTGTTATAGCATTGAAATGTTCATCAAATGGTCCGACTGTTGTTCGTGTTGCATATGATTTAAAACCTTCAAGAACAATTTCACGTATATGCATTTTAAGAACACAAGATTTGATTGAATAGTGTTTTTCTTTTTTTGAACGATTTTCTTTCTTTTAGAATATATAAAAGAATAATGGAAATGACAAATCAATAATTGAGATAGATGTCGTTTTATTTATAGATTTTTTTGCAAATATTTTTGTTATGAATTTTCTCAATAATAAGTTTTCTTTACAAAAAAATCTAAATCGAAGTACTTAATGATGATAAGAATATAGTTTAGGCTTGATCTTGATCGACAATATAATGATTATTTCATAGTTCAAGTATTAACTAATATAAAGACAATTTGTTAATGATTTGATCATCATGAATTTAAATCACTAGATTGAACATTCCCATGTCCTTTGAATCGGCTAAAAATTGCCGATTAATCCCGATTCATCGAAACGATAATCGTGAGCTGAATCGCCGATTATTTCAGCGATTTTTACGATAAATCGTGATTTTATGCAAGATTTAACCGTCTGTTTACTGATATTTTCTACTATTTCATTGGTTCTTTTGGAGACACATATTTGGATTTTTTCTTGAATTTAATTCAATTTTTTTTGTTCTCAAGATCCAAGCCGATCAGATCGTGCGATCTTGAGCTGGTCTGATTCTTATCAGACCGCTTCAGTGTAGTCCTCTCCAGATCATGGATCGGGATTGGCATTTTCTTGATTAAAAATAACCAAGAAATAATTTATCAGAAAAGTATATTTCGAAAACTTATTTGTTATGCATTGAACGGCATTGTTTATATATCCGTATGTGTTCATAACAAAACGGTGAATGAATAATTGTCATGATTTATCAATGATTTTTGAAAATCAGCCCTTCTCCCATAATCGCGATAAAATCTGATATAATCGTCGATCTTTTAAAGAAATACGATAAATCACGATTTTACGCCAATTTTTTAGAAAATCGCGGTGATTCTCACGATATGGGTTACATTGACATGAATTCCATACAAATAGAATACTTTTTTATGAAGATATATCATACTCTGTTCATAGATATCGAAACAAAATAAAATGTTCGTTCGAATAGAGATGACATTTTCAATAATATTGTGTTTTTCTCACTAGTGAATACAACTGTACGACGATCTATGACCAACATTCTGTCGTGAATAGAAGTAATAATGAAACTTTTTAGGAAGCCTCTTTAATAAACTTTCGCAAGAAGCAATAAAACAGTTGTCATTAAATATTATACTCCCTAATATAATCGACTTTGATTAACTTGTTCAAAAGTTATGTTGAATGATTAGCAACTTGTTATATTCAAAATCTAAATTTATCCATCATTGAAAAAATTCAGTTTTGCTGATCTACAGAACAAAATTTGCATAGATGCTGTATTTAATGTATTAATTATCGTCAAAATCAATTCTATCAACTTTAATTCAAGACTAAATAAATACAAACTGTTATTAAATACTATTGAAGTGTAGAAATCCAAAAAAAGAATTGAAGAATATCTCTTGTCAGTTAAGCGTCAGATAGAATAACCTTTCGTAATTATGAATATATTAAATCAATTGAATCAAACTGATAAATATTTTAACATTTTATTTGATTCAATTCTATGTGATTATCTTTCGATCTTAAATACCTATACAAAAATTGAATAGATAGATTTTGACCGAAGTCAATAGATTAGATATTGAAGAATCATGCTAAAATTTTTGAATCTTTTAAAAAAAATAACTACCATTGGACTTTTATAAAAAAAGAAAAAAAGATATTAGATTTTGTCAAAAAGCAATGGTAGTTAATAACATCAATGGAAAATATTTAAATATAAAGATGATTTCAACATCACTAGAGTGATTAAGAAAGATTCGAAGTTTCTTTAAGAAAAACTATAGTCAGAAGAATAAATAGAATAATAATAATCTTCATATCATTGAAAAATTGACGGCCATATACAGAGTCTTTACTCTTGACTGAACAAAATTCTTCGCTAATCATTCAATTATTGCAAACTATTACCATTAAAAATATCGGTATATGCAATGCAGAAAACTGAAGAAAATCCTCAGAAAATATCTCTCAATCTTTAAAACTTATTTGAAAAAAAAAACATCAATAAGTAAAGAGACTTCGAGTGGATATATAACTACAGTCAAAAATATCTTAATACCTTCAGTAACTGATAAACTAAACTGGAAGAATTCAAAAGAAAAGTTTCGTCATGCATAACTATAATACAAAGGAAAATACGAGTCATTCAATATAACATTTTCCTAATTCTTATATGAAAGAGGTTTTTTTATGTACAACTAGATTTAAACTGTGAGCAATTTCTGTTGACATCTTACTGTCACGTAGCAGTGACAGATCCAGACTTTTAGTGAGGGGCAAAGCAATTTATGAATGATGTCTTCCGACGTTGTATAAATTTTCTTCGAAGCATATTAAATCATGTACTTTTGAACTTACATTTCACCTTATCGTTATTATATAATAACGATAAAAACCTACGAATAAGTAGATTTGATCAAGGAAAAAAAAACTGATTTTTAGCTCTTTTCTATCTTAAACCAACATGTTGAAAGTATTGACCTATCTGGAAGACTTGCCATCCAGAGTATGAATTACTTCTCTACTGCTATATTAAAGCACACAAAACAATCTGATATGAAAAATCAATCAAAATATGGAGTTAGACAAAATAATGAAAAATAGAAGTTGAATCTGAATTATGATACAAATCATGAGAATGTGCTCGATTCTTTTATCGATGTTACTTTATCGTTTTTTAGCGTAGCTTATAGAATTCTAAATGATGACAAAAATTTAGTTATGTTTTTTGTGTAGAAATGCAATATAATTCTCTGTCATTAACATAAATGGTCGATCTACTCGTAGAATTTCTAACATAACATCTCTACATGTTATTTTCATTAATAACTAATGAACGGAAGTTGGTCTAGGAAAGATATGTAATATTTGCATTAATGTATTATCTTGGAATCAAAGATTTTTTTAATGGCTGGAACAATACATAACAATTGTCATAACTGATATAAACATTTCTTACTATAAATTTATTATCATTATTACAAATCAAGATCAAAAGTGTGTTATCTGTTACAATTAATTTATCAGTCATAGATAAACAAACTAATAACAAAACCAATTAAACATGCAATTCTATCCTATCTTCTCAAATCTTTATAAAAGCGTTGAAGCCAACTCTTGCAGAACATCATCCTCATATTCTTTATCGAAAATTATGAGTAGGAAATATCATGAAAATTTATGGATGACTTATTTTTGATTTATTTATAGATTTAAATGTTTTTTTATTTTTTTACACAAAAAGAAATTTCTATATTGTAAGCTATAATTATGTGTAATAATAATATTCAATATATTATTTATTTTAAATACTTTTGATCTTTCACTTCTTACAGAAAACATCGCATGATTGAGATCAGTCGAATACAAACTGAAAAAAATCAGATAGAATATATGTATACATTTTTATTTGATTGATATAAAAATTCAATATTGAAAAAGACACACTAGATTATGTGAAATCAACCGATTTAAATTTATTTGATAAAACAACCATAAAATTATTTTTCATGACTAATTTGTATTTTTTTTGAGAAGGTTTATAAAAGCAGAAGAGAGAAAAAGAGAAAATCTTCCTCACTCTTCCGCTGAGTAGGCGAGTGACTGACTATGCATGCTATGTTGTTAACTAGTTAATTGAAAAAGGGGTATAAGAGAGAAAGAGATAGATAGATTACTTTGATGGTGTGTGTGTGTGTTCAACCAACAGAAACTATCATTCATATAGAGAGAGCCTTCAAGCAACATGAGTCGACAAAACTAGAACTAATCTTAAGAGACATAAATTCATCATCATTGAAACAACTCAATCTTTCCCTATCCAAGATCATATCAGTAGCTATTTTTTTCCATTAATGTAAAAGAAAAAAGAAAACAGAAAGAGAAAACACGAGAAAGAAAAATCAAGGTAATATTTTATTTGATATAAGAAGTATTCTTTAGGTTTGTTTTATTATTTTCAGCATAAAAATATGATTAAAAGTTATTGTCCTCATTTATTCTTATTGATTATTTGCTTTATTCTTGTATTATTATTTACCATCATCAATTGTAATCATAATGATGATACAATGGAAACAACATTATTTAAAAAAAGACTAACAACAAAAACAACGAAAAATCATTTATATGATTTATTAGAACAAGCAAATTTAAATGATGAAGAGATAAATATTTTTATTCAAGATTTATTACAACCTTATCCTAACCGTCGATCATCGTTTTATGCTATGCGAGGAAAACGACAATCTACTTTACCATAATTTGAAACTGATTCTTCCAACTTTGGTCGAAAATAAAACTATCGAAAACAAAAAAAAAATAAATACAAATATTGATAGATACAGATGTTGAAAATGATAGAATATTGAAGAAGAAATTTTCTTTCTCTTATTCTTAATCTTACATCTATATTTTCATTCCTTGTTTTTTGTTTTCGACATTTTAATCTTTCGATCAAAGTAGGATTTACCTTGAAATTATATTATTTTATGTAAAAGAAATTTCTTTGTATCAAATAAAAAAATCTTGAAATAAGAGTTTTTTCATTATTTTAAAATTAGAGTATGCTACGGATTCTATTAGATTATTATCCAGTTCAAAATCTCGCTTTTTATGCGTATGATTTTAAATCCTCTTTAGTTCTATTTTCAGCTAAAGTGACAAAAAAAATTGCTCTACAATTTACAATTAATCCTGAAAGAAGATGCGTGATAATATAGATAATATTACGGATAATTAGTCTATTATAGAATAGAAATCAAATTAAATATATCAATATTTTGTCTTCAGTATTATTATAATGCTTAGAAAAACATTTTTTTAAATATTTACTCCTCATTTCCGTTGATTATTGATGTGGCCAATTGTAGAAGTATTGTAAAAAATAAAAGAAGCGTGAGATTTGAAAATGATGTAATCATTTTTTTCATCGCTCCGCCTTTGAAATATTCAGCTTATACAATCAATAATTTAGAAAAAAAATAGAAACATCCGCATTTTCCGAAACAATATGTTCTCAATCTACAGTCAATAGAGATCTTTCGGAATTTCTGTCTAATATAAATCAATAGGCTTCACGATAACTTTGTGAATGATAAATATTGATGAATACAATTGATCATAGAGCCATTGTTGGGTAGCTGAACGACAATCCATAAGAAAGTGAATATAGTTATGTGTTATAAAACTCAACTCTTGAACAGTTGAAATAGTATTTATTATGAATTAAATGTCCTCAAAGGTTATAAAGTAATTCCGAGCAAAGTACATATTTATTTACTAAGGTGTATCAAAAACAAATATTCTTTTGCCATTAGTTTTTTATCGGTTCACTGCTTCTTTTTTCTTCTGTACTCAAATAACATGTGATTCATGTTGCTTTCGACTACTCAATAATGGAGTCAAAGATAAAAATCAAGGTTTAGTATAATACTCTATTTATAAAGTTATTTTATCAGTGATTCTTCTGAGATCATAGTAGAGGGCAAAGAGTTAAGACTGTTCATATATATAATACTTCTAAGAATAAATATTTTTTTCAAAAATGCACAATCCATCTCCTATAGTACCATTATTTCTTATTAATAATATTGAGAATCGAATATAATGCTGAATGGATGTAAAAGAAGATAATAGTGAATCTTTGCATACAATCAATTGTAAAATTTAAAAAAAAAAATTATTTATCAGTTTTTATCTCAATTATGGGTACGAGCAATTGTGCTGCAAAACAAAATCAAAGCAGATTAAAATCTAATAACTGATAGAATAGAACCTTGAGCAGCTTGTAATCATTGTTATATAGCTTACAGATTACATTCTAAGAAAGATGGTAATAATCAACGAAAAAATTTTAGATTAAATTATATATATGCTTATTTAAAAATTACACATTGTCTTTTGGCGCAGGGAGCTTTGTCTTGTGCCGAAGGAGCTTAATCTTGAAAATTTTGATTGGATTTGTGATATCTAGAATGAACCTTATTTTTAATCAGCTTATAAACTTCCTGATAGTGATAATAAGGACAGGACTAAACTATGTCATGTGTTACTAAGGGTAGTTTCTTTTCTTTGTATTTTTTTTGTTGTCGCTATCGGTTAATTTCATTTTTATATAACATGGAAGCGTACGGATAAGAGGAAGCAATAATTAAAGAATAGAAGTTGCCCTCAGCAACGGATGACATAGATCGATTCCTGTTTTGCTCGTGATATCAATTTTATAACCTGAAAAAAAGTATGTGACCTCGCTGATTTTTAACGGTCCGGAAATTATTTTTAGATTGACTAATGAACGACCGGATTGGCTCGATCTAGCATTTTTTTGAGTGGTTACAAATCTGAATTCGAATGTGGAATAATATAAGACTCCAAACTACACCCAGATTCTTATCACAAAGTTATATTGTATGTGTTCAAGCATAATAGTTTCTTACGAAAAACAATATATGTTACAGTCGATTCTGATAGTGATGTTATATGTTGTTTCTTATTGAATTCAGAGTTCGCCAAGTTTTTGGATATTTTTTTAAAATCTTTTTCGACTGTTATATACATGCAATTATGTGATCGATTAATACAAGAAATCAATTCTAAGATTCTCTTTTATTTTTCTCCAAAGAATATATTGCATCATTTTGTACAGCTGATTGCGAACATCAGTAAACAATATCAGTATTGACTTGTGTTTCATCGCTTAATATTAACAGACCTTATTGACAATTTTCGGTGGAAGATTGTTTTCGTCTCTTCTTACTGAAGAAGAAAATATTCTTTAGAAAATGTAATATAAATTTGTAATTTTGAAAAAGAGAACACGAAACAATGGTGTAAATCATTTGTGCATTGTAAAAGCATTATTGCTTTATTTACTAGTTAAAAAATATTTGTCTAATCGTTCTTCACATAACTAATTGTGTAACACGCATGTTCTCTCTCTCTCTCTCTCTTGAAATAGCATCCTTTTTTGTTAGTGCATACGTATTTATCATTCCAACAAGAAATAAATTTTTTCAAAGTTATTTCAAGTTTCACTCTGTTATTTTGTGACATTCAGAATCAATCTGAATTTTTATTTTCGAAGTTTGATCACATTTCATCTAAATTAAACTTTTATTTTCATAATCTAAAATGTAGATAAATTGTTTAAAAATTTAGTCTTGATTGACATTTTTCGACAGCGAAGAACGGAAAGCAATTATGTGAAATAGGTTTTCTTTTCTATGGCAACCGTTGGATAAACTTTTCTATATTGTCATAATCAATCTGAGTGTGATTTCTTTTCATCTTATTGTTATTGATACTTCAAATACGAGTTCCTATAATCTTAGATTATAACAGACACATCTATATTGTAGTTTATAATGCTTGATAAATCAGTATTGGTGTGTTTGTTATTGAAATCTAGCTGAGAGTTTTCGTTTATATTATCTTCAACGAACGTTCCATATATATGAATTTAGAGAATTCAGAAAGTTTTTTTCTTGCTCTCTCGACATTACTGATCTACGACATCTATCGCTAACTCATCACTCAACGTACTCGAAAAAAAATGTAGACTAATGTCACGTATATGTCTGAAGTGAACAGCCTAATTGTCTCTATCTATTTTATGAAGTGATAGAACAATCAGAAAAGTCTTGTATAGTACTCATATATGAAGATTATACTATGACTACTATGAAGTTTTCAAATAATCACTCATGTGCATGTGCATTGATATCGTTCTTCTAGTAATGTTAGCTTCCAAAAAGAAAGACTCGGAACGAGAATATATGCGTGTCTAGTTACATACAATAAAATAATAAAAAAGAAAAAAAGAAAATTCTATACGAGAAGGACGAGTGGCATATGCTTCGCATTAAGAAAAAAAATTCTATTATCGTAATTTTTAAAAGAAAGTAAAGACTTTAACGTTGCTGTGTTATACGTGAATATAAGAGTTGATTGACGTTAAACAGCAAAGTATTCGGTAATTTTGTACAATATTTCTTCGATATTGTTTACGAAGTGTTGAAACATCAAAGCTTTGATATGATTTCATAATTTATTTTTCTTTATCTTCTTAAAAATAAAAATAGTGAATTTACTTTTTAAGGCAAAAAAAAAATCCAAATGTAAGACTGACATTGACTAAAAATATATTTGATAATACTTTTTCTTCTTGAATATTGACTACTGATACGTGTTGTGAGATAGTTGAAGAATCATTAACTTTTTATAACTTATCCTCTTGATATTATCTGAGTTTTTCTTTTCTCATAGTATAATCAATCTCATAATAAATATATAATTAATCGTTAAGTGGTAAATATCGGCAATCGATAGATTTTTTTTTCTCTTATCCAAACATCATTGCTTTCGAAATAAGAAAAAAAATATTTCAAATCAGTACAATTCAACATTTGTAAGTGTCATGAACCATTGTATTAAACTGTGTACATTTTCCGAAATGGAAATAGCCGGAATTCTCTACTATAGACTGCTATTTAAGTTTTTCAATATATTTTCTTTCATTGAATAGATATTGATCAATTTAATGTTAATAATAGTAAATAACATTTCCTTTACCTTCTAGAGTCACTTTTGATAATTTTATATTAAAATAGCTGCTAAAACATCGTGAAAAAACTAATAAAAAGAAACTAGACGTTGTTGCTGTTATAAATCACTATGATGGTTTAGGTCAATTCAACTCTTCAAGATAGTAATGAATAATCTTTAACGAAAACTGGTAACCTCAAAATAAAAAGAAATGCTTCCTCCTTCTCATACTACTGTTCAATCACCTGCTATGAATCGTCCACCACAACGACCTGGACCTGCATTAGGACCTTATTATCATTTTATAAAAACTGATTTAAATCAAATGTTATGGCTTGGTAGCGCATTAGTATTTCGTCATGTTTCATTTGAACGTCCACAGATTGAATTTAGTTGTAAACCAAAATTAGATTATCATTGGGAAGTATTATATGATAATCTATTCGATATGCAAATATATAGAATAAATATATCGATTGAATTACGTCAAGGAGAAGGTGATGATGAAATTAAATGGAAAATTAATTGGGGTGATTATATAACGGAAGGTTTATTTTGTATTGCTCGTTATAATCAAAAATGGCGTGGAGGTTTTTTCTCATGTAATGGATTTGATGCAACTGTAACCGAAAGTGCAAAATCTAAACTTAAATTCGAAAATGTATGGGATCATTTAAATTCTATTCATGCTGAAACTCCACTTCATCTTTTAATATGG